TTTAACTATTTAAATTTTCAGCTTTTTCCTTTTAAACAAATTTAAAATGAAACAACACAAAACACTGCAAACCACAACACAATTAAATATAAATTATAATATGAAAACAAAAAGAAGATGCATATTCTCTGTCATATGGGCCTGCATGAATAAACTTTCTGTATCCTTTATCATCCGCAACTGAAAATAGTTGTGTATGATTACTATACCTTTCTAATGTGACGTTGCTGTCCCTGGCTCTCTTCCTCTCTCTCTCCCTCCCACTCTGTTCCTGTGCTACTGCGAGTGTAACTACCGCCCCTCCCCCCTCTTCCCAGCGCAAAGCACAAGGCTAATAAGAATAAATTACACAGATTATGAAGATCTTACATGTGATCACGTGTATTTAAAAACCACTGTACGTTCCTTAACAAAAACTTGTCCTAGATCAGTACTTTTTAAATAGATGTGATTAGTGACATGCAGACAATGATGCTGATTTATTTGTTTAATTGGAAAACTAAATCCAGCAAAGTCAGAAATTGTACTCAGTAACCAGTTGTACCCAGATGACGATAGAGTCACAGAGCAGGGCAGGGTCACTCTGCCCCCTCCTGGAACAGTTGTGCTATTGCCACTCAATTTGGTTCAGCTGCTGTTCAGCTTTCAACAACGACACAACAAATAAACCACTGGAACCAAACCAATTTACGCAACTAGATTGAAATAAAAGTAGTAAATATTTATATATATAAATATAGTATAAATATAATACTCAATGAAACAACATTATTTATATCACTGTGCTTATATGAAAATTAAATAGATTAATCAATTAATTAATGCATTTATTTAAAAAAAGTGCTACTGGAATAATAACATAAAATTGATACAACTGCACACTTTGTTGTTTCAAATGGTGATCTGACAAATGGTTCCCCATCACATGTTGGAAAATCCAAGACTTTTTCCTAAAGATCAAAAAAACAAAACCCAGTTAGCCTGAATAACGATAGGGGACCCAGGTCAATATTAACTCAGGAAAAGACTCTGGATTTAACATAGCATAGCAGTAATTTACAGCTGGGAAGTTAATAGAGTTGATCATGATCCTTCACCGTGCAGATTGCATTCTGGTGTCTTGCACCATCAACTCAGCTCAGTAAGTGGCAGTGACACCAACTTATTTTAGCTTTAATTGCAGAAGAAGAAGAAAATAAGAAGAAAGCGAAGAAGAGCTGTAAATGCAGTAGTTCTTCTCTTCAGCGCCCTCTGCTGGGTCAGTAATGATCACATAAGATGGCATAAAAAGAAAACCCATCTGTTTGAAAGCAACAAATGTCAGCACACACTTTGTGTCATGCCTGATTGACAATGTTAATTACATTAAGTCTGATAGAGGGAAAATAAGTTATTTAGTGTAAAAGTCTTGAACCACCTCTCATTTGTGTATATCGTGATAAGAAAATGAGAAATAGGTGCAGTGATTCATTTAAACATGTTCAAAGCAATAGTGTATATAAGACAAAAACAGAGGTTTTAAAATTCTATCATTTTTTACCATCTTTTAAATACATTCAGTATTGGGGTCCCCCCTTTTCCTACAAACATACATCAGGAGTCAGGGGGGTTGTTGTGCCTAAGAAATTACTCAGTTACAATGAACACATTTTCAGACCCATGTACAATGCAGGAAGGTTCATAATTCTAATTTACATTTCCAGCACATGTTCTCCTTCATCACTTTTATTCTATGTAATCTCAGGGTATGATAGTGTCTGTGTAACCCCCCTCTCACCTCTCTAACATACTTTCTACAGTCTGCCAAAATCCCCTGCCAATTTTCTTGTCCTATGTTTATTCTCAGATCTTTTTTTCCATTTTTGTCTCTTATGATAGAAACCAAATCATGCGTGGCAAAATGCCGACACCCAGAGTCTATTATAGATAAGATGTATTGTATAAACTGTATAAGGGCTCTGAAGCTGTGGGATTTGGTTTCTTAATAGGACCCTGACCTGTGAAGAGAATATTTCTGTGGCAGCCTTGTTGCATTCTGTTTAAGAGTGTTCTCACTTTTCACAGGGTTTTATGGTAAATGGTCTGTATTTGTATAGCGCTTTTACTAGTACCTAAGGACCGCAAAGCACTTTACACATCCAGTCATCCACCCATTCACACACTGGTGCCACCGGGCCCTCTGACCACCACCAGTAGGCAACGGGTGAAGTGTCTTGCCCAAGGACACAACGACAGAGACTGTCCAAGCCAGGGCTCGAACCGGCAACCTACAAGACGAACTCCCAACTCTTGAGCCACAATATTCTTTCCCTTCTTATCAGAGACATCAAGATCATTTGTTACTTTAATGGACTGCCTAATCTCCAAGAATCTGTGTAGATCTTAGGTTTAAAAGTTGTGTGGTGACCATAAATATGCTGAAGAATGTCTCGCTTCCAGACTGTTTTCAGTTTAAATGCCAACTTTCAGAAATGTCAGTCTCACTCTTTTAGTGCGCTGATCTATGTATTTTTTTTTTTTTATCTAAAATGATTTTCTGTTTGAGGACCACATGTTTGATGGTTTTGAGCAGCATCATCCTACTTTCATGTTTCATTCTAAAAAACAATTTCACTTCAATTTCAGGTTGAAGCTGAAATGATAAAATAAATGTTCAGTTTAATGCACTTTTAGCAACTATATATTATTAAATACATATTTTCAGGATAAAAGAAGAATCCAAACTCTTAACTGCTGGTGTGTGTGTGCGTGTGTGTGTGCTCAAATGAAAATGCTCTTTTTCCCCCTTCTAGATATCAAAATGACTAAAAACTTCTGAGTCCCACATTTAACAATCCTTCCTATTATGGACGGTATAGTGTCATCAGGTTTTGTTTTTGTAGAGGAAAAATGGCTGCAATTTTGAGAATCTTGTGCTCTGTGAGCCCACAACAAATGTGGCATCAATAAAGAGCCCAGGATGTTCCCTTGACAGCACAGCAGGAGTCATACATGCATGAACGGTGCTTGATGTAGTGGTTGCAGACTGGTATCCCCAACAGAGGACAAAAGTAAATTGCCGGGACTTAGGAGGATATGCGTAAAAAGTTGAACATATAAAGACATGGACATTTACTCTGTACTTATAAACCGTATTTATTATGCTATAATTGTAGTGGACATATCAGAGATAGGCACGATTGTGGCACTGATTCAGTCTTTAGCACTACGGTCACCCCGGTGTGTCGGCTAGAACACCACTTAAGGCCAAAATGTCCCAGAGTATGGAAGAAGGAGCTTGAGGTTCGGTTTGAGGCACTTTATTGTCACAACTCAATTCCTGGGGCTGTAAAACTGTTTTGATCAAACTGGGGAGCTAAATAGTTTGTTTTGAGGGGTTAATAAAAGTCTAGTTCCCGTGAGCTTTGGAAAACTACTTTAGAAGAGCATAAAAATATTCAGTTTCTCTTTAACCAAACTACACAATCTCTATAGTTTGCAACAAGCTCACCAATCAAATAATTTAGCCTAGCATAGCGCATACTAGATAAAGATTTGAATAAGTATAATGTGAAAATAAATCACATTGATTCACTTCAATTAAACATTGAATTAAATATGAACAGACTTTTTCCATCCATCCATTCACTTCCGCTTCTCCTTTTTCAGGGTCGCGGGGGGCGCTGGAGCCTATCCCAGCTGTCATAGGGCGAGAGGCGGGGTACACCCTGGACAGGTCGCCAGTCTGTCGCAACACACAGGGACAGACAACCATTCGCACTCACATTCACTCGCACATTCACACCTAGTGGCAATTTGGATTATCCAATTAACCTATCCCCACAAGCTGCATGTCTTTGGACAGTGGGAGGAAGCCGGAGTACCCGGAGGGAACCCACACAAACACGGGGAGAACATGCAAACTCCACACAGAAAGTTATAAATTGAGCAGTGGCCTGGGTACACCAGGGTACGCCTGGCCACTGCTCCACACAGAAAGGCCACGGCCTGATGGTGGAATTGAACTCAGGACCTTCTTGCTGTGCGGCAACAGTGCTAACCACCGTGCCACCGTGCTGCCAAATATGAACAGACTTTAAACTTTATTAAATAACAAACACTATATGTCATAAGTGCTAATATATGTGTAAAACTGGTATGCCACTCTGGTCGAGTTCAGAGCTACAAAAGTAGATACTCATGTTAGTTTATGTGGGTTACCCATATGCTTATAAAAAGAAGACAAACTTACATAATTTGTAAAGGTTTACAGAAATTTACATTTTAAACATTATAGTTTTCACTAGTTTTGTTAACAGTGGATTTTAACTAAATAAGCAGTCAAACAGACAGATGTGAGCAAATGCCAGAATTTTTTTTTTTAATTTATTGTTTCCTCTCAGAGATTCATAAGATAATTCAAACCAGGTCATATGAAACAGAAAGGCTTACATGCCACTTTATACATTAAAAATTCTGTTATACCTTCAATGTAACAATGAGCTGTTTGTAATTATCCTCTTAAATCATCCAGTTTTTAAAAAAAAAAAAAAAATAGTGGTCACTACAGTGGAAGCTATTCAAAAGCTGTTTTCTTGTATGTGTGTCAGTGTTGACGGTATACTTGCACATAAACCACCATATTGGACACTGATGTGTCTCTCCATACCCTACCACCCACTGGTTGTTTAATGTACTATAGATGTATGACGTGTTTCATTGTAACTAATTTTTTTTAACCCCTTCATGCATGAATTATGACAACCTCATTTAAGATTTGTTTCTTAAGTATTTTTATTCATATTTTCATGCCTAAAGATGCATAAAAATACATAAGAAACAAATACTGATTGAGGTTGTCATAATTTGTGCACGAAGGGGTTAAATAGGATGATTTGATATAATAATTGATAAAATAATTACATTTAAAATAAGGCACCCAAAAAATCCACCTGAAATACAGTAAGAATAGTTTAAGAATGTCACAAATGAAATTCTTGAAATCCCAGAGTTCCCATTTATTACTTTGATGGCTCATCATTGTACTGTACTTGGGCCAGCATCTCCAGATCCTCTAACTGTCTCATAAACACAACGATCACCTGCAAGTTAATAACAGTTCAGTCAAAGTCACAATAATTAACATCTAACATTGAATAATTCCTGAACAATATAATATGACTGATGAAAGCAGGTAAACAGTGTTAGACCTGACCATGGGAAAGAGCCGAGTACACATGCTGTTGATTTTCTTCCTGCTTGATAGTTTCAGACCGTGTGAGCCTGAAATAATTAAAATATATTTTTATTAGTAGAATAAACGTATTTTTTAAATTCCTGCTGTTAATGAGTTTCAGCAACTGTAACGTCTGTGTTGGAGACGGCGTGGAGCGTGGACCCACATGCAAACATAAGGTCGAGGTGCATTGAAAAACAATACAGAAACCTGAAACACAAAACCTTGAACTGGGAAAGAGGAACCCGAGACCTGAAAAAAACAAAAACAAAAAAACGGGAACTTGGGAGGTAAGAAGAAAGAGGAGAACAGAGGACTAAATAGACACAGATTATGAGGGGATGGGAAACAGGAGGGAACACAGATATGAAAACATAACTGAATCGATGTGACACATGGTACACAGGAGAGGCACAGCATCAAAACCTAAAGACTAGAAATCACAATCCTAAAGATAACTTATAGGGAGCTAGAAATACAGAAGCCTAAACCATGAAACACACAAAATCAAAGAATATGGGGGGGAAAAAAGAAACAAATTAAAAAAAAAAAAAAACACACCAGAAACACAAACACTGGGGCCCCAAACCCAGGACCATGACACTCACCTTTTGGGATGTAGACCTGTAGAAAAAAAAAAGTATTATGAGATTAGGAGATTAAGAGAACAGTTTTAATAGTAGCATTAACAAGAAATCTTACCCTTTGACTTTATGCAGTAAAGCAGAAAGAGCAACAGTAGAGTGATCAATACTCCAGTAAACAGCCCAACAATGAACATGAGAAGAGAAGAGCTGTCCTCTGAAATCACAAAAAGTAATAATAAATTATATAAACAGAGCAGTTACATGTATTCACAACCTCAGACACTCTCCACATACCTGTTTTATTTGTGTCTGTGTCTTTGCTGCACTTCACTGTTTGAAGTGCAGACTTCTCACTGACATGATTGGAAACTGTGCAGGTGACATTGGTCTCTCCATCCTGCCTGATGATGTATTGTTGTCTGGGACCAGTTAGTGTTTGTTTTCCTACAGTCCACTTGTAGCTGACATCACCAGTTGTGCTGCACTCCAGCAGAACTTTACATGATTCATTACAAGCCTCCCAGGTAGAATTGATTTTTATGTCAGGCTGTTTAGTTATGGGCTCTAATGAGAAAACAGAAGGAGAGAGAGTCTGTGTCAGGTCACGTTTTGCACCAGAGCTTAAAGTATATGTGGAGTTCTGAAAATGTATTATATAAAATATAAAATAATATATATAACTAACATTACAACAACAAATTCAGATAAGTACTTTTAACTGCTTTGCCAGTTGGTCATATCTGGTCTAAAAAATGCAAAAAAAAAAAAAGAAGCTCAAAAACAAACCAATTTGTATAAACTAAATACTTTAAAAATCAAAGACATATTCTATTCCAAGTTAATTACCATACCAGATTTATTTATAAAGCACTTTAACATTAAGATCCTAAAACGTAGTGGAGTGAAATTAAACGGCGTTAATAAGCTCAGACTTTTTTCTTCCAGTTAAAAGACGCACTGGAGCATTTTGCACAACCTTCAGATGCCTAATGGACGCATCACTAGCATCACAATAAAGGACATTGACAAGAATAAAGTCAAATCAAGAACAATGATGGGTTATGATGAGCAAAAACAAGTAGGATTTGCTATTTGAGCAAATATCTAAATTATTTCATCTCCATCTTAATTTTCAAGTTACTAAAAAAAACAGGGAAAGACACAATAACAGATGTGCAGTAAAAAGAATGACAACAAAAATCTGAGGTTGATTAACCATTACAAACTGTTGCATTGTATTTTACACGGATTAGTATCAATAAACAAATATGTGGACATGAAGTTCAAAATATAAAATAAAGTCATTTAATTAATATTTTACACAATAAGTATTCAACATTAACACATTAAGGTGACTGTGAAAGCACAGAAAACACAAGTTAATCAATAAAGTAATCAAGAGGAAAGAAAGTTTAAAAAAGAGCTACAGGGGTTTCTTTTCATTAGGATGCTTTTGGAATTAAAACAAACAAGCAAAAAAAAAAAAGTCTCTTACCATGAACTTGCAGAGAGATGGTGACTGAAGGCCTTTGCTTGTTATTCCAGCCTGAGATAAACATGAAATCACCAGAATCTTGAAGAATCAGTTCTCTCACTGTTAAAGTAAAGTCTTCAGGGTTCAGCTCTGATCTGTCCTTAAATGGAGATTTTTCAAAAACACCCACATCTTTGTCTGCAACATTTATTCCTCCATATCTCCACGTTGCCACGGTCACACCTTCAGTTGGTAAGCCTGATGAAAGCTCCACAGTATCGCCAACGTTTTTATGAATGACACGTTTTCCACTGGAAGCCTCCACATCTGCAAATATATAGAAACATATCTTTGTGAAAGTCCACTGTTTGAGTTAGAAGTGAGTGAGAAAAAAACTGGCCAAACTGCCTATAACCTTATCCTCCAGTTATAGTAT